GGGAGGGAGAGAGAGAAAAGAAAAGAAAAGATAAAAGACAGTGATTAAGTAACTGACATTACAAAATCAGGAAGCAGCAGGTACAAGATTCAATCCCAGGTAATCTGACTCTAAAAATTTTTAAACACAAAATCCCCAGATTATTCTCAACTAGAGACTGTTAAAGAAGAAAGAAAACACATACAGCAAGGGAACATACTAAGAGAGGTATAGAATCAATGGTTCTTAACTATTTCGCCCAGGTAGTGGAACTGAGAGTTGAAGCTGAGGGGGAGGCGGGGTGAACAGTAAAGTTCCCAGAGGTGTCATTCACCCAGAGGAAAAGCAGAAGTGTAGTAAATGTATTCCACAGAAGTCAGCTAATTAAGATGGGAGGGAAGCACGGCAATGTACAAAGGGCAACAAAATAATGGAAATAATTGCTGTCTTGATTTTTTAAATGGTATTGAAGTATATGTAATTATGAGAACCAACAAGGAAAGATAGAATGGAAAAGCATAATAATTATCAAGCAAAAGGGGATGAACTGGAACTGGATCAAACCTATCAAAGAAAGGAAAAGAGAAAATAACAATATAAAAGACAGAGCAAATATAAAATCAGATGTAATGAATAAAGTCAAACATATCAATCATGAACGTACAAAGCAGAGACCGTCCAATGGGGTGAGACAGTAGTTCCCCTTCTCAAGATGCCCATTGAATGCCAGGAAATAGACACAGTACTGAACACAGGTACCTACGATAAAGTTTGACTTATACATTAGGCACAATATGAGATTAACAGCAATAACAAAATATTACAACAATGTTCTCTAATAAAAGTTTATATGAGTGTAATCCCTCTTTCTTGCAAAATACCTTATTATAACCCTGCTCAATTTTTGTCTTGTGAGGATTTGAGGGGGTGCAATATCCATGTGATGAAATGAAGTGAGATGAAGGATGTGTTCAGGATGGTATACAATTTAAAATGTATTCATTTATACCCAGAATTTTCCATTTTCCATTTGATATTTTCAGACTGCAGGTGAGCATGGGTAGCTGAACCTGCTAAAAGAAAAACCACAATAAGTAGAGACTACTGAATCCTCATTGCAAAAACAAGACATAGAAAACACAGTGATCCTTCACTAAGGATGGAAGTATGCATCTAATTTCAAGCCTCCCCAAAACCATAGTGAATGAATGTGTAATTAAAGGACACAGAGCCTTCAGGACATAGAGAACTGGAAAGAAGGCAACACAACCCAAGCTTGGGAAGCAGATGTAAGAACAACAGATGGCGTAGCATACTGGAGAATTTGAGGCATCAGTGGGAAAGGTCAAGAACAAGCTACATTTGCAAAGCAGAATCTTCCAAAGGCTCTTAAATTGATTTCACCCTCAGGAAGGGTTGGGGTGAAGTGAGAATATAAAATGAGAATGGGGAGTGAAATCTGTTCAAGACACTCAGGCCCTCCCATGCCTTTATATGCCACAGCTCTTTTTTCACTACAGGAGACAATTGTGCTTTATGCTCTGGAGAAGAGGGAAGAAAGACTGTCTGAATACACCAACCTGGAAATAGGAGAGGACTAAGTGAAAGTACATAGTGTTGCTGTCATCCTCAATGCTGTTGGTCAGGACCCCATCCCTAAGCAAAAGATAGAGGATTATTCCTGGAGGAATCAGACAGGAAGGTAGATTTAAACATGCTGATATGGGAGGTTGGTATGGGGAAAGGTGCAATGGTTTGAGTATGTTTCCAAAGTTCATGTGTTGGAAACTTAACCTTCAATGTGACAGTGGTAAGAGGTAGGGCCTTTAGGAGCTGATCAGGCTATAAGGGCTCTAATGGATTAATAACATTACCACAGAAGTGACTTTATTTCCAAGAGTGGTGTTCCTACGGAGGATGAGTTCAGTCCCTCTTCTCTCCTTTCTTTCCTCTCCTCATTCTCCTCCTCCTCTTCTTCTTCCTCTTCCTTCTTCTTCCTCTTCCTCCTCTTCTTCCTCCTCCTTCTTCCTCCTCCTCCTTCTCCTCCTCCTCCTTCTTCTTCTCTTTCTCTTCTCCTTCTCCTTCTCCTTCTTCTTCCCCTTCCTCTTCTCCTTCTCCTTCCTCTTCCCCTTCTCCTTCTTCTTCCCCTTCTTCTTCCCTTCTTCTCCTTCTCCTTCTCCTTCTCCTTCTCCTTCTCCTTCTCTTCTCCTTCTCCTTCTCCTTCTCCTTCTCCTTCTCCTTCTCCTTCTCCTTCTCCTTCTCCTTCTCCTTCTTCTTC